TGTATACAGCTTACATAGGAGTCAGGGTAGGCAAAAAGATCCTGTGTTCCGAAACTGGGAATATGCATTCTGACTGCTAACTGCTGCTTCTGATTCAGAAGATACAAAGAGAAAGGCACTGTTGTTGGACCTCCCTCTACTGTTGTAAACCCCTCCCACTCTAGCTGAAGAGACTTCAAGGGGACTTAACGGGTGTATGCCTTTCCGCTCACTTCATTTTTCTATTTTTTCCCCTTTGGGGAGCCAGGCATTAAGGATTAGAATATTAAAAAAAATAACTGTATACATGGGGAAAAGTAGAAAATGACTATACATGTCCAGGGAAAGAGTTAGAAAAGACTTTTGAAGTTTATACCTTAGGCTGATGATCCTCAGCATTGAGACAGCCTGCAACATCCCCAAAAAACAATAATAAAAAACAGAAGACCCCAGGAAAGGGGGAGAATTTGATTTCCAGAGGTACCACACTATTAGATTTAAATGTTTAGTTTTCAACCAAAAAACACAAGGCATACAAAGAAACAGGAAAGTATGGCCCATTCAAAGGAAAAAAAAAAAAAAACAGAACTATCCCTGAAAAAGACCTGACAGCAGATATACTACAAAAAAAAAAACAAATAACAACAACAAAAAAAAAAACACTTTAAATTCTGAGAAACACAAAGAAAAATGATTGAAAAAAAGTGAACAGAGCCTAAGAGACCTGTGAGACACCAACAGACCAAAATATGCACTGTAAGAGTCCCAGAAGGAGAGAAAAGGGGGCAGAGAAAATATCTGAAGAAATAATGCCTGAAAGCTTCCCAAATTTGATGAAAGACATGCATATAAACATCTGAGAAGCTCAACGACCTCCATGAAAGATGAGGCCACACAAGGATACATTATAACCAAACTTCCAAAAGACAAAGAGAGACTCTTAGAAACAGCAAGAGAGAACTGAATCATCACATACAAGGGATTCTCAATAAGATTATAAGTAGATTTCTCATGATAAACTTTGGACTCTAGAAGGCAATAGGTAAATATATTTAAAATGCTCAAAGGAAAAAACTGTCAACTAAGAATCCTGTATCTGGCAAATTTCTTCAGAAGTGAGGGAGAAATTATGAAAACGAAAGCTGAGGGAGTCTCTTACCACTAGACTTGGCCTAGAAGATACGCTCAATGGAGTTCTACAAGGTAAAATGAAAAGACACTAGACAGTAACTCAAAGCTGTATAGAGAAATAAA